CAATGGTATCCATAAAAACTCATTGTTTTCATTTTTGGAACTGATCAAGTCTCTCACATGTTTTGGCGATATTTTTTAGGGTGTGCCTACGCGTCCGGTTACCAAACGCTCAGCTGCCAGGCTACACGTCCGGTCATATATTTCTTATGTGAACCCAACTATATTTTTTCAGTAAAAAACAATAAACAATAAATTTTTACCATAATATTACTTATAAATAATAATATTATTATTATATTATTAATAATATAGGTATTTTATCAAAAAAATGTGTTGTAACTTTTGAAGCAATAGTAAATCTAGTAAAACCAACGATTTGGAAGGGGGCGTGGCCTAATCGTGACGTGAATTTAGGAATCTGTGCAGAGCTTTGTAATGGATGACCGGACGCGTAGCCACTGCATATTTTTAGCTCGCCTTGACGTCGTCAAGATGAGCTATTGTCATGGGATGTCGTCCGTCGTACGTCCGTCCGTTCGTCTGTCCGTTCGTCAACATTTGGCTACGATCAACGATAACTTGAGAACCGTTTGACCCACATGTTTCAAATTGCATATATAGTTGTTACTTCTATGGGAGAGGTTTGGAAAGAACATCCTATTTTGGGGCATGCCAGTCGACCTACGTCCACTTTTTGGCAAAAATGGAAATGGCCATAAGTCAGTTCAAGTTCAACGGATTTTGCTCATTTCTAGTATGTGAATGAATAAGGACTGGCCCCAAAACATGTCACACGGGTTTTGATATTTTTTTTAATTATGCAAATTAGGTAGAATTTGGCAATTTCACTATGCATTTCAGTGTCTGCTTACGGTCAACGATAACTCAAGAACCGTTTGATCCTCATGTTTCAAATTGAATACAGTTGTTACTCCTATGCGAGAGATTTGAACTTTCTATTTTGGAGCACGCCAGTCGACTAACTTTCGAGCCACGCCCACCTTTTGGCAAAAATGAAAATGGCCATCTAAATTCATTCGATTTTGTTAAATTTTGGTATGTGAATGTGTAAGGCTAGCCCCAAAACAGTTGTTACTCCTATGGGAGAGATGACAACGTCCTATTACGTTTATTTCGTCTAACTGCTCAACAACTCTACAATCATACCTTATACGTGTAATATTGTGTTTTACTTTTAGATTCTTCGTTACAGTAATTTGACTGGAATATTTTATTGTTTTTATTTGCGCGATATTCGAAAACCGAAATGGCGATCATTTAGGCGTAGCGCCATCTCTTGTCAAGGTTTCAGACTTTAAGATCTTTGCATCAAAACTTATGCATGCATATATCATTATCAAGATTCAAGAGTATATAATGGGAGATATATGCTATATAATTGGAGTTCTCCCATATATACTCTTGCTTTATATATATTCCCCCTCCCTCTTCTATCACATCCAAGGTGAGCTACAGTGGCATTGACAGTTTCATTCAAGAATATATTTGGTCATCTCTGTTGATATACAAGCTTTCTCCGTGTCACGCAAACATTGACTCACAGTAATGTGATTGTGGGGAAAGTGATTTGGGGATTGTGTTTTTTCAGTTGTCTGCCAAGTTTGCGATACAAAAGCATTGGCTAGTGCCATATGCTCATAGCTGTCTTTCATTGTGTTTACATCTGATTAGCTCTGCAGGGTGCGAAACTAACGGGAGTCCGGAGTCAAATACGCCCTGATTTACTGTCGGACTCTCTGATTTGACATATGCAGGAGTCCGTGTGACTCCCTGAAAATTCTGCCATATACTAACTAGTTCATTCCGGAGCACGGCCTCATGGAATTACCGTATTTTTTCAGCAAATGTCCAAAGAAAATTTGGCAGACGTGCAACCGCATGAATCTTCAAAATAAGCACATGCATTATTGTTAATATCTTTAATTTTGAACTTTAGACTGCGGACTCCCTCATTTTGCCGCGGACTACCTCTTTTTGAGGACAGGGAGTTGGAATCCCTTGTTCAAAAGTTAATTTCTACCCCTGGCTCTGGGTTGTTATATCGCTCAGTGCTCGCTGTGTTAATTAATTTGGCTGGTTGTTTTGCAATAACTGAAAAGCCTCCATCTGATAACAAGAGTGCAAGACCTCTACGGTATAAAGTTATTGATTTCGAGCAAAAAATGAAGGTAGTTTTATGATGTCGTCGATGGCACGTGACCTCTGGCTCACTCAGAAAAATATTACAGAATAAACGGGATCCCATTCTATTGCACATGTTCCAGGTTAATGGGTTGTCTGTCGATGCTAGTGTAGGGTTTGCATTTATAGCTGATTAGCTGTGTCATAGAGCTATGTCTTAATTATGCATCTCCAGTTCCTGGTCTTTATTCAATATTGCATGTCTTCCTAATGTGACTTCCAGAGTCCTGGTGGCGTTTTTCCAGTGTATGCTGTAGCGGTTATTGATGTGAGGATGCTTGTACTCGCGCATGGAAGATATTGATGGACGATAAAAATGTTCTCTTATGGTACAGTCATCTTTACTTTTGCCAAATTCCCCCATAATGTCCCCCACCAGACACATACCACATAAACGTTGATGATACGACATATGCTAAAGATCTCTGATATACGTCAGCTTGAGAATGGTTGAAAGTTTATTGTTTGATGTCTTTGTTATTCTCCACATTGGCTTCTGATCTGTATCGTAGGACTGCCTCGAAATTCACGTGAACGAGTAGATGTGTACGAGTTACATGAAAAATTAAGGAATAACCCATCCTCCATGCACTGCTGACTGCAAAGGGGTAAACAATGAAACAAAGACATAATATATTATCAGCGAATTCTGATGTTGACACCGACGTTGACACAATTGGTTTGATATTTTCCAATTTAATCAAACCTAGTATAAATATCTTTATAAATGGCATTTATTAGTTAGCTTATTAGCCTACCACAAAATTGGACAACATGTTAATAGATATTTAATTAGTAATAAACTATGTTGTTAATAATGTTATATGCTGCTGCTTCTATGATTTTTGTTCTATCCACATACTCATCGTGCATGCATCTCTACACCTGGCTATGCCAAACACGCCAACTCACGCGTTTACGCGAACACGCGCCCACACCGCAGGACTCTATGCGTTGCTGAAATCTCAACATGAAACTAAGCTTTCAGGGCCCTCATTTGTAAATCAATCGATACTGCGGCAGCCATTGCCTTCTTTGTTATTGACGTACTTCTTCCTTATATGGGAATCCCTTGCCGCTTGCCATTCTCAGAAGGGTTCATTGATTACTTGCTGTTGCTACTGCTATTGCTGCATTTGCTGCTGCTGTGCTGCAGCTCGGTGTAGATGCGGTATACTGGTGGGTGGAGTGGGTGGCCAGTGCGGCTCAACCACTGTTTGATAATGATCAGTCTAAGCTGCATGGGGTTGAACCGGGCGCTATAGGCACATTATGCGCATGTGTGTGATGATCAAGGATTGAAGCACAATAACGTATATTATAACAAGGACACAGTCAAAATTTTATAGTACTGTGTCACGCAAGTAACACACTACGAAATAGGTGTGTGTGTGCGTGCGTGCGTGCGTGCGCGCGCGTGCGTGTGTTCTTAAAAATAGCCATATACATCAAAAACGAATGATTTATTACATAAAAATGTCTTGTATGGTAGCCCAAATGTGTATTACATTCTTCACTAAAGGCTGGTGCAATGAATGGTAACATCCCAGTTGGCCTACTCCCATTTCACCTACTCCCATTTCTTCTACTCTCAGAATGGGCAATATTCCCATTTCACCTACTCCCGTTTAGTCTACTCTCAGAATGGGTAATAGTGCTATTTCGTCGTAGTATTGATATTACAACAAATACCAGGAGAAATTAGTGTGGATGCCACTCCGTTTAGTCTATGTATGCTAATCCAAACCATATATTACATTTATAAATGATTATTTAGTGGACAAACTGATGGTAGACAAAATTGGAATAATGTGGCTTTTTAGTGTAGACGAATTGGGAGTAGGCCAACTGGGGGTTTTGCTATAGACGAAATGGGAATTTTGCCGTAGGTATATATACTATTATATAGTAGGCCATCCGGGCATAAACCCAATGAATATCACTAGCTTTTGTTATTTCTCCGATAGCCCAGGATGTTATAGCTGGGCAAAATGATAGCCATTTCGGCCACCGTAATCCTGCAAGTGTGTGAGTGCGTTAGAGTTGACGCAGATGATCGGCAGGTCTCGATGTGGGTTTGTTCGGGGTGTTTTGAGCAAGAACCCAATTTCATAAGCACCATGATAATGTTATAATGGCCTCTTTTAACAGTCTGTTTGCTCACAGTACAAGCCTCTTAATTGTTCACTAGTAGAGGTATAATGACCATTTGATATATATGTATTAATATATTTAGCCAGTAGTAAACTATGAAAGTAATAATATATATATATATATACACACACAATAAGCCAGTTCGCAGTTAGCCAAGGGGTTGTGTGACGTCATAGGTCACCGGGTCATTTGTGACAAAAATAGATGAAATCTCGAGTGCGGCGTGCGCTCTCGATTCAGTACGTATATGTACATGTATTCTGTGTACGTGTACACGCACGCATATGTACGTGCGCACGCACGCAGCACGTGTACGTGCACACTCACGCACGCACGCACGCACGTGTACATGCACACGCGAAGACTGTACATAGCATTACAAGGACACAGATGCATGCGTATGTGTACTGTGCGGTCGAAATACGAACTATTTTGCACAAATGACCTGACCCGGAAGAATTTGTGGCAAAGTTCGCGCATGCGCAGACTGTAACTACGAACTGGCTTATTCATGTAAAATCGTCAAATGGAAATCGTTGGACGCATGTAAAAGGCTCTGTGCAATTCTGGTTAGTGGGGGTCATTTTCCCGATTGAAGGTATGATACCCCGAATGTATTTGCCGAGTGTTTGTGACTGTTGTAGGGGTAAAATTTGTTGTTTTTTGGCATCTAGATCTCATCTTATTTAATTGTTTTTTTACAGTGTGTTGGTAACCAAGCAACGATTGGAGGGAGAAAACCGAAAAAGGAATCAATTACTGGTAGTGCTTGTGCTGGAGGCAGTGGTTAGTTGATCTCATAGATGTTCGCCAAACCTGTTTTGTAAAGACGTGGTTTAAATTCTCTAAAGGAGTAAGCGCAGTACTCGTAGCAGTCTCAGATGTGTAGGCTTTTGGGTTGATCAATACATGCAGTTTTCATGAATCAAGTCGGTTGTTATCTAGGATATACAGCCAGCGTGCCACGATCAATACTAGTGTGGGCGTGTATGTACGTTTAGGATTGCAGTAACGTTGCTGGCTAGTTTGCTGCTGTGAAGCCATATATACGGTCTGAGAGGTCACTCTGTGTACATACTAAGACGACTGTATTTAGCAAATTAAGTCTAGGGCATTGCTAGGGATAACTAGAAAGTCACACATTATAGTAGCATAGGGAGAAGCCATGTGACTCTTTGGATACTAACCATTCGGTAACATCAGAACAAGTGCTTTCTCATTCGGCATAGAACCAATCTTATATAGCTGCAGTCAACCAGCTTTCATTTCTCCCCTGTAGGTGGAGCTGCAGGCAGTCGAGATGAACTGGAAATGCCAGATAGAGTGAGCATGAGCATTTATTGCTACACTCAGCAAACCACTCTGCAAACTGCACAGTGTGCGTCACTGTCAGAAAACACCATGTAAACGGCGAGAGAAACTTGGAAACGTGAGACTCATTCACAGTGGCTAAAAGTGCGCCGGTACACACACATTGTCTGCCGCACACACAAATGCAGGCACGCGCGTGGAAGGAAAAGATGGTGCATTAAATCCCCGCTGAAACCGGCTGTCACACGAATGCTATCGGAAAGCGTGCATTACGGGAAAACACCTGTAAACTGTTGCTGTAATCTGCACCCCGAGAACTATCTTCATCGCCGGTAGATAGACTGTAAGCATTATTGCCTCGCCGGACGCCGGTATCGCTCGTCTTAAAGCTGGATTGTAGTCGGCTGTGCTACAAGCTCTTGCAACTGTACACGGGTAGGCGCCTGTCTCTGGAGCACCCGATGCACACCGATCCTATCAAGAACAAGGAGAAGCGTAGCAGCATGGCGGGAGCAGCGATGATCGAAGCGCCGCAGCGAGATGAGCCGATCAACAGCAGGAATAGCCCGTCCGCACTCAACATACTCTCGAATAGCACTGACGCCGAGGATTTTGCGAACAGGTAGGCATCGGATTTTCATTCCTGTACGAGTTGGCATCTGTATGTTGGTCATTATGTATGGGGTTGTAGTGGCTTGCAGTGCGTGTTTACAGTGGGTATAGGTGTGTTTAGTGCATGCATGGGTGCAGGTTATGCCCTTCAGGATCGGGCGCATGCCATGGCCTTCATGTGTGCGTGCGTGCGTGAGTGAGTGCATATATATGTGCATCCCACGTCGTAATCCTATGCCCACTGCTGTATGGCTGTGCTGTGCTGTGCCTTGTGCATAGGTACGTACAACATTATGCATTTAGTGCATACAGTGCATTATATGCACTAATGTGTGCATGAATGCGGTTTCGTGCGTGTATGTATGATACATTTACATGGCACACGTATGGTGTACCATAAGGCCAAAACAAAATATAGGTGTGCATGGTTACGGTTTCCCGACCGACCCTATTTATTCCCAGCGACCCTAAACATTTTAATTGTCAATTTTCTTTAAAGTCACACAAAAAAATAAAAAAAAAAATTATAAAAAAATATGAATTGGACAGTTCCTGCTTCAAAAGGTACAACGCACATCCTTCGGACATCATGGTTCGTAAATAAAATATTTCAAGAAAATAAAATGTTTCCCCTATAGCTACCTACCCTATTTTTTTTCGGCATGTAACGGTAACCACACATATATTTGTTTTGGCCTAAGGTACGCAGTTGACATGTGATCCATACATAGCAATAGCACACGTTTGGATTAACATGCATGTGTCTGTGCATTATGCATACATCCCACATGTGTATGCATTCATGCATGGTACAACGTGAATGCATAACGTGACACGCGTGTGTGTGCTGTTGCTAGAGTTACTACACATCTGGGGTTTGGGGAAACTCAGATTATCCCGGTTTTCATGGCCCCCTGCCCAGTCCTGGTCGGAAAATGAAACTTTGCTCCATTGTTCTAGCTTTCAGTCAGTACAGTAGAGTAATAAAAGATTCGTTTATTTGTGCTAAACAAATTCATGATACAAAAATTAACTTTATCTATACCAGTGTGATGTTGGATCCACCTTACACATGCATTAAAAATTACAAGAATGTGGAGAGAGTGTTTTAAATAAGCAGATTAGTGTTTAGGTAAATCTAGGATGCATTTCGTTGGATACATTGTTGGTATAATATGATATAGGCCTACCAACAATGGAACCAACGAAATGTGTCGTAAATTTACCATTATGTTGATGCATTTACTTCCATCAGCATCCTTTCAGTGTTTACATAGTTATATTGAGTTAGCACAGTCTATATCTGCATGGCAATAGTAAAGGGCATTTGTTGCTGTTTTACATACTTATGCATAAGATGAAACTTAAAGGCAGTGACAGGTTACACACCTGCCGTGGGGCCCGTTCCCAGAAACAAAATAAGTCTTAACATTAGCGTTAAAATTAATTTTTTTCTCATAGACAGTTAAGAGAAACATGGTAAAGTTTCGAGTTTCCTATACGCAGTGTATAGAGAGGTCTGGTCTATGAGAAAAAGTTTATATGCTTGTCTAGGGTAATTTCGGTTCTGACAACAGGCCCTGGTTTTACAGTGAAACACCATGGTAACCTTAGCTGTGCTGCCTCACCTAAGTGTATTGTGTTGTAATATCCTGTGTGTCTACTAATCAACCTAGTACAAATCTTCATGCTTGGATTCACGAAGATGAGAACTTTTTTTTCTAAAATTTCTGGTCCATGAAAAGTTTTTGGAAAGTTCTCTCTAAAATTAACAATTTTGTGTACCATATCTTCCAATGGCACTTTTTATTATATAAATGAAAGATGAAAACCTTATTAAATTCATGTCTCGAAAAGAAGGAATGGGCTTTGATGAGAATATTTGTGAATGCAAGGGGTCTGTAAAGAAGGGGCGGTGTAAGCGTACACGGATGCATACCTTTTACGGTGCAACACATTATTAGTATATTTAGTGTAGTTTTATATTTGGCTTGCGAAATTTAAAAAAAAATGTTAGAAAGAATGTGAACATTCTAACGAATCTAAACGAGGTTTTCCTTAGTTTGTTGATGAATGTGAAACACATGCTAACGTTGTCTAGAGGCACTTTATGGCTATTCATTCGGTTTAAGTAATAGATAATAACTTAGAATTCGATAGAATATAAAAGTGTGGGTTTCCTGCTCGGACCATAAAATTGGATGCTCCTTGCATGTACCTCACGTATACTAGAAATGCACCCAAATGCAGTATTGGGCATATAGACAATATTGTGCAACGTTTGTCTCTAAAGGGGGAGCAGAATAAGTGTATGAATTATTCCATTGTTGTTCAGCTGATCTCAAATATGTCTCGGCCATGTTATGCGAATGTGCTATGCTGCTACATACGCCTACACATGTCAGCAGTGCTGCTGCCACCAACATTGTAATTGTATCCCCCGAACGAAGTTCGTGGGGATACTATGGGTTTTTGTCATCGGCGCGCCGCCGCCGCCGCACAGATTTCCTTGTGAACGCTCTTACCGGCTGCAGTTCTTCTCGGATCATCTTCAAATTTTGCATGAAGGTGTGTTATCGTAAAGCGAAGACGCCAATCGTTTTTGGTGTGGGCGGAGTCATCGTTGCCATGGTAACAACATTTTTTGTCGAAATATTGTAGAACCTGTAACTTCTGCACTTTTTACCCGATTGTCATAATATTTATATTTGTATTAAAATTTATATTTAAATTTATATTAAAATTTAAATTTAAAAATAAAATAAAAATTTAAT